TGCAACAAACTCCGCAATAGCAGGTTTTTTCAGGTATAGATTCCCATTCCAAGGATGGCCTTTCCACAAGTATGCTCCTTTTCCTATGGTTAAGCCTGCAGATTCTTCTGTTCACACAACACCATCTTCTGGAGCCACCGAGGAAGAGGAAACCGAGAAAGTGCCTTCTTCGCCAAACACAGGAAACAGAGATGGAGGCAACGCGTAATGAATCAAGACAAGAAATGTACTATTGAAAACCTTTATTGTGTTTTAATGACTGTTGAATCTTTCCTCTAGTTTCTTACATAATGTATCAAATAAAATGTACCATGTACTATAAAATGCTATGTGACATTTTACATGGATAATGAAATGAATACAATTGATCTTATCTACCAATCTCTGTTTGATACCGGTTTTCTGAGGTTCATCGTTTTGAGGCGATTTTCACTATGACAGAGACAGGAATTTGAACAATGTGTCCTGTGTTTCCAAACAGCTTGATTCTCCCAAAACTAGCAATAGAGCTGTTCTTCTTAGCTTCAAGGATTACACTAAGTAACTTTGTCTCTCCATTGACTATAGAGAAGTGAGTAGGAGATACCTTCATCGAAACACCATACGGAGGAATCAAACCGACACTATAGGTCTCATTTCGAGCAATGTTTGTCATTAGTCGTTGGACAGTTCGCGTGTTATTAAGCCTCGAGACTGTGATTGATGGCAAATTGAGGTCAGGTCCAATGATTGTTGCATTGCTAAGCAAACAATTTTTCCCGGTGTAGTTGAATACCACCGGACCTGATCCATTGATCCCACAAAGAAATGACATATAGTCTTCAAAACCTGTAGCCAGAGAGAGAAATGTTAAAATGGCTTACATTTGGTTATATGAAAATGTCGAAAACCTCACTAATATCAAGTTTTATAACTCACTAGTATCGAAGATTAGTCCCGGATCCAAAGCTGCGGTTGCATTCACAAAACCATTTCCCATATCAAATGGAGTTGCAGGAGTTAAGGTTTGATCAGGATTGGCATAAGCACGCTGAGCCATTATCGCCTCGCCTTTATTGTCGAATTGAACAGCGGTTGTTGAAAGTGCAGATGCAATGGCTGAAGGACTAAATTTTCTGTATTTCTGCTTGATCAATGCAGCCACACCAGCCACATGAGGTGCAGCCATGCTAGTACCAGACATGATCGCAAACTTCTCTCCTTAAAAAAACAAAAACAGAACACACAACAGGTTAAATAGGAAAGTCATTAACTTTAACAATGTCATGCTTTGGAGATAATTTATATACCTTCAAACTCAGCTGAATCGGTGGCAGCGGAACTCCAAGCGCCCCAAATGGAATTTCCAGGAGCTACAAGGTTAGGTTTCAAAATGTCGGCGTCGTTAAGAAAGCTGTCTTCTGGATCAGGTCCTCTTGCTGAGTAGTACATAATCTTAGGAGCTCTGTTACTAAAGTTAGCATTTTGTCCACCTGCAATGGCTGCAACTGCCCCAAATCTAACAATCTCCTTGGTGGTTCCATCTCTTTCAAGAGAAGAGTTATAGTACTTGAGTAAAACCTATGAATTACATATCATTATTAGATCGCTCTCCGAGAAGAATCAAGTGAAGAAGTAAAATATGTTTTGTACCTTGGAATCTTCTGCGGATGGAATGATAATGCCGGGCATGTTCATCGGTGTAGGATTGATCTGAAAACCAAGAACATATGGATCCATGTAGAACACAACACCTTTAGCAGAAAGATTCTTGGAAACAGCTAAAGCTTGTTTAATAGTGGAAAGCCCGAGCACGAAACGGATAGAGTAGCTACATATCAGGAGATTCCCGGAGACAAGATCCTTATCGAAGCTATCATAGTCTTGGCATTCACCTACATACATGTCTTTGTCTACTCCAGAGCTTTTGTTCTTCAATGCATCAAGAGCAGAGACCATTCTGTACCTCTTTCCTTCATCTGTAGGAACT